AAGAGTGAGTTATGACCAGTGCTTTTTTTGTAAAAACAAAAGGTGCCGGAACTCACACATGTCACACAACCCGCCTTGCCTACCCTACAAGGTTCCATCCAAAAAAGGTGCTGGAACTTCTTTCTGGGTGTTCTATGACAAAAAAAGCCCTGGTTATGACTGTTTTTCACACTTAGGACTATTTCAGCATCCCCATGGTCTGGTGATCAAAATTCAGACGCTTGGCCACTGGCTCCTATTTATGATGGTTACAGTGTCCTGAGGTCATAGCGACCTGCAGTGACTCCCTTAACAACTGTGGCCAGAAAGATCGTAAAATGGGGCAAAACCCACTTCACTAAGGTCTCACTTAGTCCCAGAAATTTGGGGCTTATACATACCCAGTTCCTGCAACCATTCATCGTACGTTTCCGCCTCTTGTCTCTGAATCATCTTTGTTGCTCTTCTCTGCATTTTTTCCAGAGTTTGGCTGAATATCGTATTGAGGTTCAGTCACTGCAGAGAATTACACACCTTAGGTTCAAGAAAAAAGTTGCACGGGGTGAAGAAGTTCAACCCTAGCCGCAATTCACCTCCCCGAGTGGTGGTTATGTTCTCTCTAACGCAGTGGTTCTCAACCTTTTTAATGCCGTGACCCCTAACCGCTCGTAAGTCGAGGACTACTCAACCAGTCGTAAGTTGAGGACTACTCAACTGGTGCAGCACCGTTTGCAGAATGGGACTTTTGGCGGGCTCAGCAGGGCAGAGACAGCCTGGACAATTCCTATTGGCTTTTGAAAGCCAATAGAATTAGACTCTATTCAAGAGAGTCTATTCTATTGGCTTTCAAAAGCCAATAGAATAAAAGGGAGTAGCACAGCTAAGGAAAAGGGGGGAAAATGGCGGACTGTGTTGTTTGGCGACCCCCGTGAAATGGTCGTTCGACCCCAAATGGGGTCCAGACCCACAGGTTGAGAACCGCTGCTCTAACGGTAGAGGTTTTCAGAAGCCAAGAACATTGGTGGTTGAATTTAACGGCAAGATTTGGGCAAGGCCGATTCCTCTGTCTCCACTAAAGCTGTGTATTTCTTGGGGGTTATACAGAGGATTGCTAAGAATACAAGACTGCTCTCCAATGCTTTGTCCCTGTTCCTCAGGTTCTGCCACATGAGCTTGACCCATGCTTGGCCTAATGGTAGGGCTGGCCTTGTCCACATGCTGGTTTTGAACTTCAGCTGGCTTCCCAAAGTGTCCTTTGGTCCAAAGAGAACGGGTTGATCTCAGCTTCCACTTGAAAGAAACACACGTATTTGCTAACTTCATAGTTAGCAGGGGACAAGTTGTCTGCAGAAGGATCAATAAATGAAGTACTGTGCTGCTTATCCACTGGAAGAAAAAAAAAATAGCTACAAGCTAAGCTAAGCTGGTGTTTGCTAGAAAGAGTGGAGCAGAAAGAAGAAGAGGGAGTCAAGCTATTCTCCAAAGCACCTGAAGGCAGGACAAGAAGCAACGGGTGGAAACTAAGCAAGGAGAGAAGCAACCTAGGTGAATGCTCCAACACTGGAAGTTTTTAAGAAGAGACTGGACAGCCATTTGTCCAAAATGGTATAGGGTTTCCTGCCTGAGCAGGGGGTTGGACTAGATGACCTCCAAGGTCCCTTCCAACTTTATCATCATTATTATTATAAACAAATTGCCAACCGGCCGTTCATGGGAAGATCTGCAAGCTGGGGTAGAGATATTTAGTAAATAACATGAATTAATCACAATGCCATGACATTCTACAGATTAAGTTCATGTACTTGGGTCTGCCCGGGAACCAGGTCCAACTTACTGGTATAAAACCTACATCCTTCAAATATCCAGGTTCAGTTCCTAGCCTTTGGAAAAAATTCCTGTCAGAAACTTTGCAGTAATAATGTTGGTCAGTATGGAGTAGCTTTCTCCAGCTGAATGTCTTCCAGTTGTAGTGGGCTTGCTAGAGGATTTGAGGAATCAATTGCTTGGGAATGTTGGGAATTGCAATCCTAACACACCCGGAGGTCACCTGTTTGTTTTTCTATAACATTATTTAGTACAAGGCTGTGTTGATGTTCTAAGTTACATCCTTGGGAGCTTCCCAAATACCTCACTCCAACCCTGGGGGAACAGAATGCTGATCTAGAAGGGATGTTGGTTTCATCCTTTCTCAAATCTCTTCTTTTGCTTTTGAAATCGGACTTATTGTTATCTACTAAGGAGCTACTATCTTTCCCCCCCCCCAAATGGAAGAGGGGTTGCTGAAAGTGGAAACCAACCAACCTTCCTTCCTTCCTTCCTTCCTTCCTTCCTTCCTTCCTTTCCTCCTGCCTCCCTCCCTCTTCATCATTTATCTTTTCCTTCCTTCCTTCCATCCCTCCATCCCTGTCTCCCCATCATTTATCTTTTCCTTCCTTCCTTCCTTCCTTCCTTCCTTCCTTCCTTCCTTCCTTCCTCCCTTCCTCTCCATCATTCATCTTTTCCTTCCTTCCTTCCTTCCTTCCTTCCTTCCTTCCTTCCTTCCCTCCCTCCCTCCCTCCATCCCTCCTTCCTTCCTTCCCTCTCTCCCTCTCTCTTTCCTTCCTTCCTTCCTTCCTTCCTTCCCTCCCTCCCTCCCTCCCTCCATCCCTCCTTCCTTCCTTCCCTCTCTCCCTCTCTCTTTCCTTCCTTCCTTCCTTCCTTCCTTCCTTCCTTCCTTCCTTCCTTCCTTCCTGCCTGCCTGCCTGCCTTCCTTCCTGCCCTCCTTCCTTCCTTCCTTCCCTCCCATTTGGTCAGGACCAGGATCCAAAGGACAACATCCATTTGGGCTCTTATGGTGTGCCTTTTAGGCCACGGTTTGAGACATGGAGCCGGCCAAAGGAGACGTACTGAATTGTTGTGGTTAGTAAATAGACCTGCTGTCGGCAGACTGCACCGTGCATCGCCATGAATAGCTGAGTTTGTAATGCCATCTCCATCCCTCAGATCTGAGCCAGGGGCTACGATCCCACGGTGGAAAGCTCAGACAGGGGAATACAGGAGACACAGATATGAACAGCTCCCTGTTGCTCTTCCAGGATGGTTTAATGGAGGATTCCTTTTTTAACCTTAACCTTCTACAAATCAGACAGGCTACAGTTTTATTACACTCAACATAACTCACTTCCCAGTAATTGTGTTTAGAGTCAGATTTTTAAATTTTCCAGCATGTCTGGATTATGACACGTTGCATATTTTATGCACAGAGCCAGTGGCTGGCCATCTTTACAAATGGGCTAATGAGGAAGAAATCTGAATCCTTGTTGGGGACAATCCTAATTTTTTTTGGGATCTCTCCCTGGTAAATTGCTGTCTCTATTTGGGTTTTGGGTGGTTTCTAAGAAGGGGTGTGGTTGCATTCTAAAATGTTGTTGGTATTTGTGGATGAGTTTTTCCCTCTCTCTTTCAAGATAATTAATGACAGCCTGGTATGTTGATCTGCTTTGCTATCTTCTGTTGTTGTGCTCTGTTGCTTTTAAACAATGGTAAAAACTGTCAAACCAAAACCAAGGGTGTGAATGTCACAAGCCACTGTGCTTATGTTCTGCTGGGCTTCATTTTGACCCTCCAGAAACCCTCCAGAAGTTATTATTTAATGGCAATTGTTATTGAAATAATGATTGAATACCTAAATTCTGTATTTATGCAATAGACGTAACCTAATGGAACCTGCATGATTCACTATAAATTAACCAAATAGGATGGATTTACATAGGACACAAAGAAGCTAACCAAGACCAAAACTAACATTACGCAAACATAGCCTCTAGTTTGTAACTGAGTAAGTTAAGCAAGGTGTGTGTATGTAAGCCTAGTTTTTGTTCAAGCCACTTTTTGACCTGGACTCCCTCACTTACAATCAAATGTGGTCCTCTAAAAACATTGTGCATCTATCTCAGCATTTCTCAACCTTGCTAACTTGAAGAGGTGTTACATTCTGGGAGTTGAAGTCCACACCTCTTCCAGTTTGCCAACGTTGAGAAACACCGAGGTATCTAACCCTGAAATGTTAGAAGCTTCCCCTTTATATTGTAAACAGATAATGTGTCTTCAGGCCATCAAAATGGAGGAGATGAGTGATTTATTGCACACAAAACCCCTGTTTTCCAACGTGGTATTCTGTTAAGTGAACTGTGTGGTTGTTAAGGGAATCCTTATTGGAAGCCAGCTGGGAAAGTTAGCAAAGAGTGATCACATGACCCTGGGAGTTTCATCCATCCAACTGCATTCCATCCACCTATCCAATACATTCCAACTGCCAAGCACCCCAATCGTGATCATGTGGCTATAGGCATGCTATGACGGCCAGTTGTAGGTCACATTTTTCAGCGCTTTCCCGATTTTGAATGGTTACAAACATCTAGAGACTCCTAGATTGAGGAGGCCGTAATAATAATAATAATAATAATAATAATAATAATAATAATAATAATAATAATAATAATAATAGTTGGAAGGGACCTTGGAGGTCATCTAGTCCAACCCCCTGCTCAGGCAGGAAACCCTATACCATTTCAGACAAATGGCTGTCCAGTCTCTTCTTAAAAACTTCCAGTGTTGGAGCATTCATCACTTCTGGAGGCAGGTTGTTCCACTGGTTAATTGTTCTAACTGTCAGGAAGTTTCTCCTTAGTTCTAGGTTGCTTCTCTCCTTGGTTAGTTTCCATCCATTGTTTCTTGTCCTGCCTTCAGGCGCCTTGGAAAATAGCTTGACTCCCTCTTCTTTGGGGCAGCCCCTGAGATATTGGAACGTGGCTATCATGTCCCCCCTCATCCTTCTCTTCATTAAACTAGACATACCCATTTCCAGCAACCATTCCTTATACATTTTAGCCTCCAGTCTCCTAATCATGTTTGTTGCTCTTGAAAAGTTGCTGATCTCAAATGGCCATGCAGGTCCAAAATCAGTTCTTAAGCCGTGTTATTGTGCATAACCCTGATATAATCCTTCTTCCTTTCTCTTCCACGGTCTACTGTGCATCCAGAAGAACATCCCACAGCAGCCTAGAGCAGTTCTAACAGGATCAATAAATTTTTCCTATTCAGAAAATGAGTTTGACATTCAGAGAAGCTTAATGTCAGGTTGGTCTTTTGATTCTCTCTCTCTCTCTCTCTCTCTCTCTCTCTCTCTCTCTCTCTCTCTCTCTCTCTCTCTCTCTCCCATGGTCTATTAATCTTTTGGAGTGATGCCAGGCCATTTTTGCTGCTTGGCACAACAACCTTTGGCTTCAGATCTCGTAAGCTATTAAATCACCCCCCATGGCAGCATTACAGATGCATTTGAGTACCCTCTTGCCTTGAGACTCGCGTTTTGCATTTATTCCCTGCAAAAGACGGGATCTTTCTCTTTTTTCAAACCTATTTCTCCTGGCGTCGCAATGACATGGAACGGTTAGACGCTAAAGCCTGCCACCCTGTGGCTTGTTCTTTGAGGAAACTTTGGAAATCCTTATTTAACCTTGAAACTGATTTGCAAAACTAAGATTGAAGTGATTGCAGTTATTCTTGCAAACTAAAAAAAAAAATGGTCAAATGCTTTTTCTCATATATAGGCCTCTCTCCAGACCAAACACTTTTATCCTTTAAATTTTTTCCCCCTTATTATATTTTCTGGCTTGTCTATATGCTTATATTTGGGGAAGAAAAAAGAACTATTCTCTCTCTCTCTCTTTTTTTGGTCTTCTTAAAAAGTTTAAACTGCCCGATTTGGATTGTTTTTAAATCTTTTACAATTATAAGGAATTTTTTTTTAAAGAAAGCATTGTTATTTTGAATTTCTTTTTAGGCCTTCCTCTAAAATGGTCCTCACCCACTGCACTGGGTGTTCCTCGACTGTAATTTTTCTGTTTGGTTATTTTATCTTCGGACACTGGGATTTTCTGTCCCATTTCCCCACAGTTACCTTCACTTAGCTGTTCTCCTCTATCAATATGCAGCCTTTCCTGATCTTCCAGATGTGCCTTCCAGATGAATTGGATTTCAACTTCCATCAGAGCTAGACCAGCATTTTTCAAACTTGGCAACTTTAAGATGCTGGCTGGGGAATCTGGGAGTTGAAGTTGAAGTCCATAGAGTTGAAGTCCACAGAGTTACCAAGCTTGAAAAACACCGCCCCAGGCTATAAAGTTATGGATTTTATAGCATCTGGACAACAGCAGTTTTGAGAAAACTCTTTCCTTGACCTTGGCTTTCTCTAGTTTCATTATCATCATCCTTAGATCGGCTCTCCAGAATAAATCCTAAATTCTTATCCTGTAATAATTTACCGTTGGCTGTCTTGTTTTTGGATTCAACCTCACAACCACTATCAATAATCATTGTGTAAGGTTTCCCACTTAGCCTCACAATTGTCCCTGCATTACTCAGGAATTTAAAAGAGCCAAAGAAACTCCTGAGCTGAGGTTTCAGCAAGCAAACAACTTTTATTTTGATCAAAATAGAGTTGGATGACCCCATCTCTCTTCGTGGCTGGTAGAGAGATGAAGGCAACAACCAGGAAAGATGTATTCCACCTTTTATACCTTTCCAGAACAAAGAGATCAGGTCTTTGTATCAGGAACGAAAAGGTACAGATAAATAATTCCAAGATGATGACTCATACACAGGTCACATGATCAAAATTCAGACACTTGGCAACTGACTCATATTTACGACGGTCGCAGTGTTCCGGAGTTATGTAATCCCCTTTTGTGACTTCCAAAGTCAATGGGGGAAGCCAGAGTCACTTAACAACCGTGTTACTAATTTAACAACTGCAGTGGTTCACTTCACAACTGTGGCAAGAAAGGTCCTAAAACGGGGCAAAACTCACTTAACAAGTATCTCACCTAGCAACAGGAATTTGTGGTCATAAATCGAGGACCACCCGTATAGCCAACACCTCACCGGACATTGGATTGCCATGGTCCCAACATAAACTGGAGGTACCAGGATGAGAGAAGATTTAAACTCAAACCATTTGTCCATTGTTGCCTTTATTGACCTACAGTGGATCTGTAAGGTTGTATCAAACCACAACTGTAAAGCGCAAGATAGAAAAACAGCATCACATAAAAAGGATGAACTTTGAGCCAGATATTTGGTCACCAAAATGGGGCCAGGATCCTCTTGACTGCAATGGTAGAAGATTAAGAAGATTGGTGAACTTTGTTCCTTGTAAATCTGAATAGTCGTCCATCATACGATGGAGCAATTCAGCTTGCTTTCTGCCACCCAGCTATGCAAATTGCAAATTGCCCTGTTCCCCCCACATTTAAGAAACTCATAAAAAATGAATTGGTCTGAGAGAGAAGGTAGGGAGCCAGTTTATGACCAGTTACTAATTGGAAACAGCTGTTCACCAGCAATAAAACACTGTTTGCAAACAGATTTAAACCTTGTTAGCAAAGGATGATGAATCCTTTTGTTTGGGCCTTGCTCTGTATTAGGAGGAACGGTAGTATTAATATGTAAAACGTGAGTCAGAGGGACCCACATTCAAGTCCCCATGTAATCATTATTGGGTTGAACTGGAAATTAAGTGATGGCAACAGGATTCAACTGAAGAAGCTGTTTGAATAAGCAGCAAAACATTTCAAATGTTTGCCATGACTCAATTTCCAGACAGCTCTAAGTGGATGACTGAGACTCTTCATTGACATTGGGTGAAATTAGGCTAATCACTTTCTCTCAGCCCAACCCACCTTGTAGTGTTGCTATTATTGGTGGGTGGGCAGACTAGACCTCTGGGTAAGCTGCCTTGAAGCTTACCTTGTTTTTCAGGCTTGGCTATTTAAAACGTGTGGATTTCAACACCCAGAGTTCCTCTGCATGTTTGCAAAAACATGCATTACTCATGATCTCCCATTCTGCCCTACTCATAAGAAGACTGTGAGATTAAAAGGATAAATCAGGGACCACCTTGAATTTCTGGAAGAAGAACAATCTGCATGTGATGAAATGAACATGGGCATGTAGAAGCAATTCTCAACTTACGACAGTTCGTTCAATGATGGAAGTTATAATGGCCCCGAAGAAGGTGATCATTTTCTCTTCAAACCTAGCAAAGAACGAAGTGCTAACGTCAAGTCTACAGGCTGGCAGGTGGCTGGAAGTATAATATCTTGAAGAAGACCCAGTTCAGTCCATCTTTTAATGCAATGTTTCTCGACCTCGTTAACTTGTAGAGGCTGGATGGAGAATTCTGGGAGTTGAAATCTATACATCTTCAAGTTGAGAAACACTGATTTAATGAATAACGCCAATATCATTCCGCTCTGATGTCTGTGTACTTGTTACACGATTAATAACGTGACCCATTAAATCCTCCCGTTTTGTGGGTCGTTGGTTAATTGTCGACTGCCCCAGGCTTTGTTGGCTGTTGGTTGGTTGTAGTTGTTAGAATCAAAGGGGCCCTGTCCTGGTTGAGGTTGGAAGTGCATAGGCATTTCCTTGTATCAGAAAATATTATAGCCGAGCAAAGTTAAGTAGCCAATCGAATGACATCTTGGGAAAAGAAGAACACCTTTAGGGAAGGGAGGGAAGTGGTGAGGAAAAAGCAGAGAGAATAAAAGGGGTGGGGGCTACAGCAAGAAAGAATCTGTATGGGGAAAAAAAAAAGAGCTTTCATAACAGGAACCATCCCAGAAAATATCTGTGGTTTGGCATGCATTGTTAGTCTGGCCAAAATATGTACCTGGCAGCCTTGCTCTCTGATTAATGCTACCCTCTGGTATTTCAATGGATCTTGAAATTATGGGAGGGTGAGGGGTGTCCACAGAAGAGCAGAAGGCCTTGTCAAGTCTTCAAAAGCAAGAAATCCGGAAAGAGAGGGAGGAAGGAAAAAAAAGGAATGGTGGCGATGTTTGCAACAGCTTGCAAAATTTGATCTTTGGAAGCAAAAGTGCCTGGAAATGGCCTTTGACAATGTCCCATCAAGGCAGACGGTCTGATCTCATTTCTTTGGACTAACACAGTGGTTCTCAACCTTTTTAATGCCACGGCCCCCAACCGGTCATAAGTCGAGGACTACTCAACTGGTCATAAGTCGAGGACTACTCAGCTGGTGCAGCACCATTTGCAGAATGGGACTTTTGGCGGGCTCAGCAGGGCAGAGACAGCCTGGACAATTCCTATTGGCTTTTGAAAGCCAATAGAATTAGACTCTATTCAAGAGAGTCCATTCTATTGGCTTTCAAAAGCCAATAGAATAAAAGGGAGTAGTACAGCTAAGGAAAAGGGGGAAAAAATGGCGGACTGCGTTGTTTGGCGACCCCCGTGAAATGGTCGTTCGACCCCAAATGGGGTCCCGACCCACAGGTTGAGAACCACTGGACTAACAGGTAGCTCGTTCGCATGAACTTTTTGACACCGCCTTAATGCCAGCACGCCAAGCTTCTCATTCTGGAGAAAGGCCTACAGGTTTATTAAGGGGTGTACCTTCTTTGGTCTTTTGAAACGGCATTGATCAACTCCACATTTGTCTTGCCCCAGTTTTCTTCTGACATTCTCTGAAACATTGGTTTCTATGTTGGCTTTCCAAGCATTACAAAAACATCACTTTTTGCCAAAGCAGGGTTGAGGAGATCAAAGCCGTGTACAATGAAGTTCAGCTCTTCTACATGCTAAATGATTTTGTTAAAATATGCGTTGAGTCACTTACCCCTTTTTTTCAAAAACAAAAACAAAAACAAATGACTGCAGTTCATAAGACATGAAAGGGAAAAAAATCAGCGTTCATTAAAAGCAGACCCAGACAATACTCAAGAAATTTATAATCGGAAGCATATTTACTGGGGAGCAACCCTAATTTAAACACAGGGTAGTAAACAGTGCTTTTATTGTTAAGATGACAAATCAGCAGTTGGCCTTTATTTCATGTGATTATTTTACCTTGGTGGTTAAATTATCTGGCCGTCCTTCAAAGTAATGCAACTCCAGTCATGGGGTTGAGGAGTGGCACAATTCCCAGGGATCATTCTCCACATATAGCTCACTATATGCAAATATATCTTGGAAATACTCAGCTGGGCTCCCTAATCTTGCCTTCTTCTTGTCTCCAGCCTATGAGGGAGACCATCTAAAGCTGTGCTTTTCCATCTCAG